ATTGAGAGAGATGGGGTTTTATAAGGTACAATGTTATTTCGACAATTCACTTGCAAGTAAGTGTCTTTAGCAGTTGCAGAAATCCGGGGAACCCAGAAAAACTTCACGACGTTAGAGAGGCGAGTCTTAAGTTTCGTGAATAATTAATGCCCCGGACTAATAAGGCACTGTGTTTTATGAGGACCCGTGTTCTTTGAAGGACAGAATGGGTTTTTTGTTATAATTTCGTGACACCTATACGCCCCTATAGGTTAATAAGTTAATCCATATGGGTTTTTTTTCCAACAACAGAAATTTAACGGACTGTTAACAACGACCCTATAGCTTGGCCGCTATGGTTATTGTGTATGGCGTGGGAAGTGTAAATGTTCTAGGGCGTTTTGTACGTGACAAGGGTGGCCTGTCCAGCCTCGTGTGTTCTCTCCCATGTTCCTGAAGCAATGACCGAGAGGTTTACAACATCTAGCTTGATAAGATGTCCGTAGTTAAGGCGATCGAGATAACGCCTTCTATTGAAGATGGTTCTCTCCGGGTCTTCCAGTTTCTCTCTCTTTTGAAGAAACTAAAGACAAGATGATATAATCTACAATATATATAGCTGCGAATAACCAGCCTTGTGTCGTGTATAAACAGAACCAGTATGAATTATGAGAACACAGCCATGATTTTGGACATTGATAAATGTATTTCAATAATATATTTCCCAGAGGGCGTGTACGGTTATTGAATCAACAGCCTGATTGAATATTGTAACCTTGAGCTGTCTAATAAACCTACTACTGGCCTTAGTTTTATCTCCGATAGCATACAATCAAATTGTTGGTATTATGCGGTCAAATGGTTTAAGAAGATGGTACAACTAGTTTTCAATCGGACTAAAACACAGATCTATATTTCGTTTCGTTTTTTTATACATTCGATGGCCTACACTACATGAAAATCTGACAAGTTGTACTGTAAGGTCGCGTCAGGGGTCGTACGAGCGGTTCTTGACCCTATGACGTCACACATTGATTAATAAGTCAGCGTTGACGTTTCTAGTGGTTTACTCGCAATTCCGTTCATAGCACGTCGCCGTAACAGATGGTTTCATTGGCTAATCCCTCACGCCATCCAGAACGCAGGGTATATAACAACTCTTCCAGTTCCAAGTGTAGTACAGACATCTATATAACGAAATTTTGAACTATAAAAAAAGAAACGAAATAGGATCTGTGTTTTAATCAGATTACATTATTCAAGAGGTAAATCTGCAGGTCTTTCATTTGGCCTGGAATTATTAATTAGACGTTAATAAACTTATACAGACCATTTTCACTGGATTTGCTGCTCAACGCTCATTGATGATGTAATCCAAAAATGGATAATCGAGACTATGTTTTTTTATCGTACCGACTTTAGTAATGATGATCGAGGCTGAAATAACCGTAAACATGGATGACGATCTAGGCTGGCCTAAAACTGAATGACTAATATCTCGGTTCAGAGTGCAGCAATTTCACTGAAATGTTCAGCATATTCTCTTTTCAAATATAATAACGAGAACTGTCAGCTCTTTATCTAATCTAACGTAATGTCCCTTTATACAAGTGGTTCTCAACACCTTGGAACACATGAAAAAATAGCGGCCCACCTGGCGAAATATATATGAAAAATATTTGAAAATTGAAAAATAAAAACATGGAAAGTAATAGACACATATAGACTGACTCAACTATAGAAAAACACACTTATGAACTTATCAGTAGACACCAGTGAATACTCAGTTGGAATCCCGTGCTTTTTCACATTTTCTTTGTGTGTTGTTCAAAATTTCGCGGCCCACTTAGGAAGATCTCGCGGCCCACTGGTTGAGAATCACTGCTTTATACCAACGACAGATAATGCCCCGACTCGGATTCAATCGGAACTAAAACAAACAAAAGATCAATTCTAATTCCACACACCTTTGTACATTATTGGACTGATATTCCTAGAGATTCATCTTTCACCACATTGTAGTTGGCAAGTAATTCATATTGCTTTAAATGTTGCATCGGGGTTTTAACGGACGTGGACGTTAATGCACAAATTTAGCCTGAGGCATTATTACCAATTCATCCACAAAGGCCGTTAATTCAAAAGTGAAAATGAACCTCAAAATAGGTTAGAAAATTTGTCTTCTTTAGGAGAACCGAGATTATCATACTCGTCGACTCCTTCACAGTCCATCCCACGGATAAGAATCTCACATAATCCATAATCAACCGACTTGTATGTTTGTTGTTCTTAGTGTTTAACGTCCGCTTCCACCGAAGGTGATATCGCAGACAAGTTGTCTTATTTTTATTATCTTAACGCATGCGTAGGGGTCTTTCCTGTGTGAGGAACCGGAGTACCCGGCGTAAACCCACGAGGTTGAGAAGGTGCCCTTATCTCGAAGCCACATACCTCAGACCAGGGATAGAAACCACAACCGCAAGACAGAGGTGACCGGCCAGCTAGAAGTCGAAACGAAACACTCTAAGACCACTAGGTCACCCCCCCCCCCCCCTTGTATGTTTTTTATATTGTCTGTTTATATAACCAATATGATTGTGACCCAGTCTTAACTTGTTGCACTTGTTTCATCTTGTTGGTAGGTGAAATTGATCCGGCAAACAGTCTTCTATTTGTTTGCTTATTATTTTACAGCTGTATTTTATTGGCAGATTTGATTCGTGGATTCGTTCCTCGACGTGAATCTTTCTATCAATTACAGATTGAGTTGATGATAAAACTACTGTTTATTTTCTAACCAATTCAATTACCCAGTCCCTAAATCAACTGTCATAATAAACCAAACACAGCTGTCCTTATTCTTATTGAATAACTATTTATCTATATTGAAGATAAATATCAAACTAAAGGCCCGGTCCCACTGCACTTACGGATGCAAAGAGGATGTAAAACAGAGAAAAAAACGTGCCCTCCGTTTGAAAACGCCATGCATCCGTTGTGTATTCATTGCATACGTGTTTCATACGCTCTATCCATCGAGCATCCGTTCACTTTGATTTCATCCGCGCAAAAAGTTTTGAGCTGCACAAAACTTTTATAACGGATGAACGTTCCATGTCCGTTATCGTGCGTTAAACGTCCAATGTATCCTCTCTGCATCCTCTCTGCATCCTCGCAACTCACATCCGCTCCAGCTGAAAACGGAAAGAGGGAGGAAAGATAAGGTACATGGAACGTCTATACATCTTTAGTAGCACGGAAATAGAAAGGATGTAAGCGTATGCATCTCGTATATAAAGTTTTCAAAACGGACAAAGCGTTTGTATCTGGGATGTATCTGGTATATTGAAGGATGTCTGGAGTTTGCCTAACCCCTTCGGAGCTGTCATGCACATCCGCTGGGCTTCCGATGAACATCTATTTAACATCCCCGCTACATACTTCCCACGTTCGTTCTTTTCCGTTCTGTTTTCGCAAATTTTTTGTCAATTTTGTCCATTTCTGAAGCGGATGAAAACGGATGGAGCCACCCTCGAAAGTTTGCTCGTCCGCTGTGTCCTTTTTGCATACGTTTTGTGTCCATCGGCCACTGGGACCGGGCCTTAAGAGAGAGAGAAGGGTAGAGAAATGTGGTTTAACGTCCACTCCATGTCATGTTAGCTGAGATTCCAAACCACGCCACTTAAAGGGGCAATAACACTCTTGCTGGCTTGAAAGCTCCAGAAAATAAATAATATCTCTATCTAAGTACTAGATGTTTAAGTGTCCTACCTGTTGTGTAAATTATCCATTACATCCTATTTTACTTGTCCAGAGGGTTCGAAAATATTTTTAAATCGAAGTTTCATTTGAAAAGGTTTACGTTAGACGTTTCAAACCATTATGTTGAATTTTTCAAATTTTTTAAATAAGGTGTGTAAAGATGAAATTTGTATCATCAATTAATTGAAATATTCTAAACAAGTACAATTTGTTGACCAGAATAAAGATTGGGACATATTATTCAGTTACAACAAGAGTGGTATTGAGCCTTTAACTCAAAGACAGATCTAACTCGCATGCTTTAAACCATTTGCCCACCGAACCAACTTAGCCTATATAAATATTGGTTCAAAATCCAACTCATTCAGGATCTCATGGATTCAAGGCAACTCACATCCACAAGCTTTTTTTAATTTTTTACTATTTTTGCTGATCCAATGGCAGCAACTCCAAAATTCGAAATTCTCCTAGATCTTGTGTGTATAAAGTCATAGAACTGTGTTCCCAGGCAGTTGCAAGCTTTATGGCTACCCAAATAATAGAAGAGTCCCATAAAAAGGATTTTTCAAGCGTGCGTGCGAAATGAAATGAAATGGGGTTTAACGTCCTACTCCGAACTGAACTAATGAAGACAGGCATATACCATACAGTGTGCTATGAGGGAAATTTTGCCCGGACAGCGGCACTATGGCCTACTCTTAGTCTTATATCGAGGTCCAACGGTCAAGCGATCTTTTACGTGCACGCCAAAGGACTAGACAGCTGTCCTTGTCAGGCCCTCAGCCCTGCATCACTGACAAGGGGGAACCAAGCCTGAAAATCTGGATGAACTTTCTCAGCCAATGCAGGGATCGAACACTCGACCTCCAGGCTAGCGTGCCAGCGTCTTACGCACTTAGTCACCCTGACCCCTAACTTGTATGTGAGAAGTTCCTGACAAATGAACTTCAATGTTAAATGTACGCCATTCCTTTGGACAGCAGCTCTACAGGTAACCCCACTTTAAAGTATCACCCAACCATACAGACCTAACCCCTAACCCTTTAAAGTATCACCCAACCATACAGACCTAACCCCTAACCCTTTAAAGTATCACCCAACCATACAGACCTAACCCTTTAAAGTATCACCCAACCATACAGACCTAACCCTTTAAAGTATCACCCAACCATACAGACCTAACCCCTAACCCTTTAAAGAATCAGACAATCATACAGATCCCTCACCATCATAGAACAATAACAATATGTAATTTTAATTTATAATGTGCAATATAACTTTAAATTTCACTGGAAACTAAATTTCCATGTAAATCCTCAATTAACTATCAGTTTATTGAATTTTGAAATAAAAGATACATTTATTTTGTTTTGTTTTTTTTTCTGTTTCTTTAAACAGTGAATATGAAATTGACACATCTTCTTGGCACCTTGCTGAAAAATTTTCAGGTAATAATTTGGCGTAATATCAATTTTCTTTACAATCTGAACTCTTCACATATCTTGCCGAACATAATTGGGCAGAAATTAGAGTAAATACAGAAACGACTGAATGTAAATCAGTTTATATACATTCATATTACATTATTTTATAAGTTGCGACCCATTTGTGTCCATTTTTAGGTCCCAAATATTAGCCATTTAAACCAGATGATCGTCACCTGAGGAAATTTGAATCTCATCCAAACTACAATATTTTGAAAATTGAATCTCTGATAAACATTCGGTCAAAAAATGGTTCAATTCTCTACAGTATTTACAAAGATTTGAGAACTTGAAACTTTCGCAACATTCGACCTCCACAACAGAACAGGCAATATAACAAGTATAAACATTTGATGGGTCACTTTTTAATCCCATCTTCTAAGGTTGATATTTTAATTTTGTTAATCAAATATTAAATTATCTATTTCAGTTGTCAGCATGGATTAAGCCATGAGAAATTAGATACAGTAAACAATGTTCAGCAGCTTTTAGTGTTTTAATTTCTGGATATCAATGTTTTTTTTTTATTTTTTAGTTGGTGATTTTTTAAATGATTTCTGTTTTCCATCAGGTTTCTTGATCATGTTCTGTGGTTTTCGTCTCTTCTCATAAGATGAACTTTTCTTCCTCCCCCAACGATCTTCTTTACCAAATTTCTTTTTATGTTTAGGTGCTGGTTGTTCTTCAATAAAAGAAGGGAGAAATGGGGTTTAACCTCCACTCGACACAAACTAGGTCATTTCGGGACTAACATATGGTTCAATTTTATTTCAATAATTCGCTTACACGTATGGGTCTTTAGCAGTGGGATGAAACCGGAGGAAACTCACAAGGTTGTTCCTTGTCACGTACAACCAGGGAATCGAAACCACGCCAGTTGACTCAATGACAGACCTTATGATACAATGCACACCCGCTAACCATTCGGCACCTCAACATCCCAAATTATTTAGTGGATGTAAGAATATTGGTGGTCAAATAACATATTGAAACTAATGATAGGTTCTCACTATCACGATCCGTGCTACAACTTGGAATCGTGGAGTAATCGTAGTGATCCTATCAGGTCTTATTATATATTGAGGTCAATAGTGTTGACCGTATCAAAACGTATCCGCATCTACCAGATTGTGGACTCAATAAGGACAATCCTATCATAATGCATCGCAGGACAGTGGGAACTTGGTATTACCAATGTAAATGTATTATTCTGCCATTTTGGTTGTATTGAGTGATATTAGCTATGGGGTGTTATATTGCTCTTGGAGGGGGGGCGGTAAAAACACTGAAAAGATATTAACACAGCCGGCTTCTTATAGGTAATCACAAATGAAATGAAATGGGTTCAACTATTCTGGTTCAACTGGGATATAGGGTTTAACGTCCCTACTGTTCTGCTTCTATTGGGATATAGCTAATCAGTATGAAATTAATCGTACCTTCTTCCTCAATAAATGTAACAATAATTTTTCTACCATCCACCTCTGCTTTGTGTTTCTCTTTCTGTGCAGTTTTAGCAGCTTCTATAGTTTCAAATGTTACAATGGCTGTCCTATAAAAATAACATTATATAAAATGTTCAGTCGCCCAAATCTTCAGTGTTAGCACTTGAATAGGTTAATACACTCTGATTTTAACCATGCATTACAAAAATTTAAACATGCAATTTGCATGAGCTATTAAATATTCATATACCTGTCTACCTTAATTAATTCTGATTCCACTTAATTACTGTCTATTTTAATACTTTCAATTATACATCACTGAATTGGATGTCAGCTGTTTCGTAACCTGGCTGTTTCGTACTTCATTCATTCGTACTTCACATGAACCGTTTCATACTTTCACGTTTATTTCAATTTCTTTTAACTGATTTCAACAACATAGGAAAACTACAAATCAGTTTGAGTTATGAAGTGGAGTGTACAAATGTGAGGTACGAATGATCTAAGTACGAAACAGCTGACATCCAATTCAGTGATGTATAATTGAAAGTGAATTGGGGCCTTAATCACAAAAGTTGAATTTAAAACATTTCAAGAAAGCAGCCTTTTCATTGGCTTAGAATTAAAATTTGTACTAGGATTTAACCCTCAACAAATGAAAAGGCTGTATGCTTAAAATATTTCAGATTAAGTTTCCATGAAAAAAGCCCCTGGCTAATAAACCTACTTCTGAATAAAATAATAGTCTTACCCTTGTGATTTACCAACATTATTCAGACAAATTTTAACTGAGTTGCAACCTTCAAACACCTCCTCTATTGTTTCTTGTGTTGTTTCAAAATCTAAATTTCTAACCCTTAATATTTTACTGTGTCCTGAAATAATAAAGATTTTTTAAAACTTGTACTGTATCTTAAAAATAATATTTTACTGTGTCCTGAAAAGGCATTTTTTTTAAAGCTAAAATTTGACTGTGTCTTCAAAAAATAAAGATTTTTTAAAACTAAAATATCTACAGCCTGACTTTCTCTTTCGTATTGCTATGTGATTAAAAATCAGAGATTGTTCAGTTACTTTTTCGTTACTTTGGCTGTTCCGATCACGTCAAGAAATCGTCCACTCATCTATTCAATGATAAGCATATTACATAAAATCATAAAGACCAGACTTTGGTAGAAGAAATCCTATCCTAGACAAGCATACATGTATTAAGAATAAAAGGCTAGGGAAAGGAGATCCTATCCTAGATATACTGACTGTCAATCATATGAACTAGTCTGTTTCACCCGGGCAACAACCATACATGTAATAAAAGGCTAGGGAAAAGAGACCATGTCAAAAGTCTATCAAGGCAACCAAGTGGAATTAGAAACAATGTAAGATCGACCACAGGGGAACATCCAACATGTAACTCCTGGAGTATGTCAGTCTTGTATTGAGATGGTTTATGTGAGAAATAACAACCGGTTGCCATGCAAAATACGCCCACAATGGGAATAAATTGACGGAGTACTGGGAAATAGGGCTCATTCTCACAGAATTTCACAGATCCCCAACTATTGATAGGGTTCATCTTCTTATGACCTTGATTCTACACACCAAATCTGAAATAAATCTGTTAAGAACTATAGCTTCTATTGCATTCACAAGGTTTTAGGAAAAGAGGGATAACTTTGGAACAGAATTTCACAGATTCCCCGATTATTGATAGGGTTCGTCCTCTCATGACCCCGATGCTACACACCAAATTTGAAATAAATATGTTAAAAACTGTACCGCCTTTATCGTATTCATTTCAATAATTCATTTGGTCTTCAGCCGTCCAGGAAACAAGGGGACCCAGAGAGAACACACAAGGTTAGGTAGACAACCCTACTCGTCGTTACAACAGACCTTGTGATTTCATGTGCATGTGTTAAACCACTAGATCCACCAACCCCCCAGGCCAATGCTTAGATGCAACGGGAGGGGGGATAATTTTGCCAAGACAACATCCTAGCCAAATAAAACTGCCACAGAATTTGAACCCGGAACCCCTGTTTTTCATCCATTCTGAAGGACTAGATACCTGTCCTTTGTCAGCCCTGATTAAATCAAATGAAATATTGATAAAATATATAAATAAGATGGTGGACTTACTTGTTCCCTTTTCTACCGTATCTAAAATTAATTTCTGTCCTCTTAATTCTAGGTTCTTTTTCTTTGTTAAATATTCCTTTACCTTCTCAATAGATTCAAACTGAACGTACGCAAATCTACAAAATAAAACAAAACATAGATAGACGGTCATTGTATGGATTGATTCAAAGAAACAATAGCTCATCATGAAGAAACAAAACATACATTTATGGTTGTTATTTTGATTGTGAAGAGACTATGGTCACAAACCAAAACTCTTGAAAACCTTTATTCTAGTCGTTTGGATATTTGCGTGCACGTTAAAGATCCCTAGGCAATTGGAATTCGATAAGAGTAGGCCGTAGCACTGCGGTCCGTGATAATTTCCCTCACAGTACACTGTATGCCCATCTTCATTAGCCCAGTCGGAGCAGAACAGTAGGACGTTAAACCCCATTTCATTTTATTTTATCCTAGTCCTGTGCCTTTATCCTAATCCTCTGCAACTATCTGAATCTATTTTTTAGATTTTCAACAAAATGCAAACTTTTAATTTCCTTGTGAGGTTAGCCATCATTCCCTAACTTCCAAACTAATTGGTTTGATAACCATATCTATATGCTTGTCTAATCACATATAGATATACATTAAATTGTAATTAAATCTGTTACATATGTTGTAGGTTAGGTTATAAAAGGGAGTGGGTGGTTATCGTTCTAAGAAAAACCACTAGGATACTATTGAAGCAGTACCTGTATTAACAGGGGAGTATTAAGAAAAATTTACCCTTTAATAACCGTATTCCAGACATCTTACTGAACATTACGAACAATAATCAACAATTTCTCACATTCACTTTTCTTCGATCATGCAGTGTTTGTAAACATGTGTACAATGCAATTTTAACATTTTATGGTTTCAAAATCCATCGAATGACGATAGGTGACAATAATACCTATAGCCTCAGGAGAGAGAGAGAAATGGGGTTTAACGTCCACTCGACACAAACTAGGTCATTTCGGGACTAACATATGTTTTAATCTTATTTCAATAATTCGCTTGCGTGTAGGGGTCTTTAGCAATGGGAGGAAACCCACGAGGTTGGACAGGCACCCCTAATCCTTGTCACATACAACTTGGGAATCGAAACTACACCAGTAGACTCAATGACAGACTTTATGATACAGCCTCAGGAAATAAATCATGTGTTACCTCCCTTAGGAGGATTTTTTTTGTACATACCCTTTGTTTTTACCAGACTCTGTTTTTGGATATTTAATACTTGAAGCCTCTGGGAATAAATCGCGTAATGCATCTTTCGATACTGTAGACTCGATATTCTTTACAAATAATGTCTGGGATTCTAAATAAAATAAATAATTATAAAGTTGTATTCATATAATAATTTCTGTAAACCAACCCTATAGGGAAAAGATATGCAAAATTTCTTATTAAAACCTTTTTCTTTACCGATGTATTTTATATTTTCAAACAGATGCTTTCCTATAACATTCATTAAACACAGTCATTTATGCAAACAAAAAGCAGTGTTCAGACTTTTTAATTAAAAATAAATAAAAAAAATGATTTATTTTACAACAAATAGGGAGGCGTAGCTCGGACATTATGGAGCCAGATGACAATCTAGACAGTTCCATCCCCGTGAGGATCTAATAAGTCTCTAAGGATTGCTCAGCTGGGTTCCCCTTGTCCGTAGTGCACAACACATATACCATAAGCAGCATGTTTAAGATTTCCTGACAGTTGGGAATAACAAAAACTAAGAATAAAGGCTAGCGCTGCCGTCAAGATCCACACAAAAATTCCTTAGAATATGCCCATCTTTCATTAACCCAGATAGTACAGAATATGTCTTCATTAGCCAGGCTCGTGCAGATAAGTTAGACATGCAACCCCCATTTCATTTCATGAAATTAATAAGAATTTGAACATATTAAAGAAATTACATAAGGGATTAGGGAAAGTCCTGCATTGCCACATGTTATGGTATTATTTGTTTTTTCTATATCTTGCTGAACAGTTCTCCTGGAATGTCTAGCTGAGGATCTGAGGATGACCCATCACAGGTTTACTTTGTTCAAATATCTGATTTCATTTCCCTTGAATGACAGGGGTTTGATGGTTGAGTGCTCTAACAACAGAATGTTACATCATTAAGGTATGTCAAGGGAAGTGGTTTCCATAACAAGCTTGTACATCACAAGAAGTACCTGTTCAACCTTTTCTCTGGGTCCTTCGGTCTCCTTTGAGTGAAAAAGACTTTTACTCGTGTTTGAATTATTTAATTATGTTAGTCCCAAAATGACCTAGCCCCCCCCCCTCAATTGTTTGGTGCAACCTTAAGCACCATACAAATCTATATTTCATTTCGTTTGTTTATACTTTCGATGGCCTACACTACATGTAGATCTGACCGGTTGTAGTGGAAGGTTGTGTCAGAGGTCATACAAGCGGCTTTTGACCCTTTGACAACACACATTTGATTAAGCAATCAGTGTTGCTGTTTCTAGTGGATTACCCACTGTTCTGTGTACCTCACGCCAAAAATCCCCATTGCAAACAATTTCATTGGCTTATCCCTCACGTCATCCAGAACAAGGGTTATATAACAACTCTTCCCGATCCAAGTGTAGTAAAGAAAAGTAAAATGAAATTTAAAGTATAAAAAAACGATACGAAATAGGATCTGTGTTTTAATCAGATTGCCTTCTCTCTCCACTTTACATCAAAATTGAATTTTATCTAAAAAAATCAAAAAAATTTTAATTGAAAAATGAAACAGCACTTACTGACTTCTATTTCTCTGGTATCAAAATGTTTCTTCTCTGCGTTGATCTTTACTTTACTTCCTGCGATTTTCTTACCATTTAAAGCCAAAGCCTTTTCTAAATCTTCTGGATTGAGTAGGTCAACATGACAAAATCTATCATCACAAATAAAATGTTTTTAATTTCAAACATCTAAAACTAGCAATTGGAAGAAATTTGATTAGGTCAGATCTATTTGATCTTTGGCTGTTCAAGGTATTGATAAATAAACAGGCACTTCAGACGTGTGGAAAACGTTTCATTTAACAAAATCAGTTAAATATTTGAACTAAAAGCTTTTAAGAAGAAAAAAACAAGTGATATTTTCATTTCGGTAATGGGGTTTAATGTTCTGCTCCGACTGGGCTAATGAAGACGCGCCATACAGTGTGCTGTGAGGGAAATTTAGCCCAGATATTGGCGCTATGACCTACTCTTATTTCGAAGTCCAATTGTCAATGTTTCTTTTACATGCACTGCAGTGTGTACGATCTCAGTTTTTATACCATCCGAATGACTATAGGCTGCCTATTGCCAGGCCTCCCCCGTCTTGCACCACTGACATGGGGGGAACCACGCTTGAAAATCATGACAAATGAAATGAAGAAAATATAACTTAAAAAGTAGAAACTAAAGTGACAATTCATTCAGAGAAGAAAATAAAACTTTAAAGTAAAAACTAAAGTGACAATTCATTCAGTGAAGAAAATAGAACTTCAAAGTAAAGACTACTAAAGTGACAATTCATTCAGGGAAGAAAATAAAACTTTAAAGTAAAACTTTAAAGTGACAATTCATTCAGTGAATAAATTAAACTAATAAATACCTTCTTCCATTTTTTCTTCTGACTTCATACAAATTAACTCCATGCTTCTCAAAAAAATCTCTGACCGTTTCTCGCGTAACCTTCGTATCTAATGCACCAATAAATAACGTAATAACTGAAATATTAAAATCATTAACAAGATTAGAAAAGATGGAGAACATAGGTCCCAAAATTGTCATTTGCTTTTAATCGTTAATTTTGTGTAACGACTATTAAATATTATTAGTTTCTCCCAGATATGCCTACAACATCTAGTCTTGATCACGGAGTCTCGTACATGATCGTTGATATCAGAATTAACTAAAAACAAGGCTGACCTTAAAAATATCTTTGTTTCACCAAACCCGACCCACAATCGAGGAGAGGGGTCGGTAGGTCGGTTTTTTTTTCAGATTTTTTTTTAAGAGCTTATTTGACAGCTTGATAATTTTCCGGGTGCAAACATTCGTCTTCTTTTATTGGCAAACAAATCAATGACATCGGGATTTTTCGTGATGCACGACTCGCACACGAATTGCCACAAACTGACGTTTGAAACTCCCTCAACACGTTTTATAACGATCGTGCGGGTTGTGCCTTCATTTTTCTCGAAAACGGATATTGAAAATATCCGTTTTTGAGAAAAATAGAGGCAGAATCATTTCGTGGGAATGGACGTGCTTTCGTCTGCAACCATTTTGTTGAGAAGCGACACCTATGATGCTTTCGTCTTGATCAACCAGTTTCAATAATGAATCAAACCATAGCCATAGTAAAGGGAAATAACTCTCGTGATATATTTCAGGTTGACACACAAAATAAAATAAAAAGATCGCGGAAAAGTGCAATAAAATAATTTAAGTCGGGGGTGGTTTTAGTTAGTCGGTCGCGTTAGGCGAAACAAAGATATTTTTAAGGTCAGCCCAAGAGGTACCTGCTCTACACTGAGAAATTGCAAATCTATCACTGTCTTAAAATCTAAATTGAGAGAGAGAGAAATGAGGTTTAATGTCCATTTAACACATACCAGGTCATTTCGGGACTAAAATATGGTTCAATTTTATTTCAATAATTTGCTTGTGTGTAGGGGTCTTAAGCAGTGGGAGGAAACTGGAGGCAACCAAGTAAACCAACGAGATTGGACAGGCGACCCTACTCCTTGTCATGTACAACCGGTGAATTGATATAGCGTGCACGTGCTAACCATTTTGCCATCCAATGACCCCTCAAATAATAGGACGATGTTGATACAGTTCATTTTCGATACGATACATATTGACAGTACGACAAACTGATTTGCGATACATGTAGCGATATGGTGGCTTGGGGCTCCGTAACCGAGTGCGATTCCATGGTGGCGTATGAGATGGGTAAGCATGTTTGTTGTTGAGCCAGAGATTGCCACCTCTGCCTTACACAGACAGTACGCGCACACACATTAACCATTCTGCAACACAACCTCCCTAAAACCAAAATTGAAAACTCATCTATAATCTGTATAATTTTTGTTGACCATCTTTCTTTGTTTTATGTTGATATTGTATATATGTTTGTAACATGTTATTGTCTTTATTCAAGGTGCATCTGGGCCCATTTAAGTCCTTACAGAGTTATGCTTTCTCTATATGTCAATATTACATGTGCCTTGTTAAAAGAACCCTTTAATGGAGGCAGTCTCCATGGCAACTTACATTTTCCTTTCTTGTTTTTTCCACTATTTTTCTTTTTTTTGACTATTTGTTGTGACTTAACGCTGCTGGTTGGTGTGGGTGCTGCCTTGGTTGTAAGTTTTTTACTGCCTGAAATAAATATACAACAACTGATTTAAACATGTAACATTTAGAAAGATTCATATGGATGTTAAAAAAACTGAATGTTTACTGAATACTGCCACACTGTCACTATCAAAGGATCCAAATGATTAGATCAGTAATTTTTATAAGTTAACTCGTAACTTGTAGGATGATTCATTTCGTGGACATTTGAGATTAAAAAAACTGAATGTTTACGGAATATTGTCAAAATATCACTTTTCAAGGATCGAGACGATTAGGTCTGCAAGAAAAATTCCTACAAAATAAATTCTGTGATCCTTTTAAATTCCATGGTATCGACACATATTAAACTTGGTCATGACACAGAAACTTAAACATACATTACTCAAGAGCTAAATCTGTCTATTATAGGTTTTTCTTTAGGCCTTAAATGTTATCTAAATTATTAATTAGACATTTATTAACTTATCCAGACCATAATCAACTCTTGATGGCATCGGATACTCAAGATTTTAACTAGATTAGAACAGTTCGACATTTAAAAAATTAATTTAAAAATGGGAAAGCGAGGCTAAGACTCAAATATACCAGTGCCCTGGTTACTGCAATGCACATTTTTTGTCAAAACTACAAACAGTGATAACTTGGCTCAGAATCAAGTAATTTGAATGAAATTATCAAAATGTTCATTTTACATTATCTATTTTTGTGCTATTATAGCAAGAATGGTCAGCGCTTTATCTAAATCTTAAATAATGTATCTTTAATTTACCTTTTTCTTTAAGTTTACTTTGTTTCTTTGGAGTTGTCGTGTCTGAATCTGTATTTTTCCTCTTCTTGTTAGATTTTGTAGAACTTTCTTCGGCCATCAAAAATGGTGTTTTGGGTGTTTTCACTGATTTTAATGGTGATGTGTCCATGTCGATTATCTCAGCTTCCATTTTATCATCATCCAGTTTTTTTGGTGTCTTTTTCTTTATTTTACCATTTCCATGAGCCTGTAAATAAATGTGAAAATATTGAATAAAGTTTATTATTCACAGCTGTTTAGAAGAGAAGAAGAGAAATGGAGTTTAACGTCCACTCAACACAAACTAGGTCATTTCGAGATGGCGGTCATCTTGTTACACAGGGAGTAGCAAAGATCAATGAAAGTTTCATTGTAAATACTGAATGTCATGGAGTTAATTTTGGACTGATATTCCTGTTGGAGATTGACCTTTTACCTAATAAGAATGGCTATATATGTACAGAGATGGGATTTAACATCCACTCAACACAAACTAGGTCATTTCGGGACTAACACATGGTTTAATTCTATTTCAAGAATTCACTTGCACCTAGGAGTATTTAGCAGTTGGAGGAAACCTGAAGATCTGGAAAAAACCTACCACGTTGGATAATACAGGGACTCGGAACCACACCAGTAGTTGAATCAATGACAGACCTTATGATACAGCGCGCACATGCTAATCATTTGGCCATCCAACCCCCCTGTATTTTGTTAGAATTGGGATACATTTGGTCATATTTGGTAAGATGTTTGAGATACCCAGGGGTGGGGGAGGGTACTGATACTATGAATAGATCTTTCCAAATAATCATAAAAACATTTTACAATAAGGCAGTATGTGGTGGTCACTAGTATTTCACATTTGGTATTATTTAGTTAGTATTGGGTATCGTCCTAGTATCGGGTTTAAAATAATGTTTCATGGAGCCCTATGATTGTTTCATGAAGGTCTATATAATATGGATGATGTTTCATAAAGGCCTACTACTGACTGGCTATGTAACTGTATTGTGTATTCATAATCATATGTCAATAGATTTAAATTAAAAATCACGAAATGAAATAGTGCACGTGTCGCTTTGTATTCAGTTTGTACCAGCCCCTCTTTACCTTCTCTGGCGTCTTGGTCTTCATATTAACAACTGAACAAATGAAATCTCTGTACACTACACAGTATTTAGATTTTGTTAAAATATTTTACTTCTGTAAACACGTGTTTCTCTCAAAATTTTGTAAACATTTAATTGTACATCAGAGTTATTTCCCCTCCGTAGTCTTCCGTTGTCAATATCCAGACTTTTTTCCTGCATAGAGTGTAGTTATCCCCCTTGTACTATTTGACAAAAGAATAGATTCCCCTGGTTGTCCTCATTCCATATCAAAAGTTTTTTTTATAAGAAGATCTCTTTACTTTATTGTAATGTTTGAAGACATATCATAGTTGCTATTGTGTATCAGATTCAATTAATGTAATACAATTTAATATAGACTACTGGACTGTAATGGTTCAATGTACTCCGCTGTACAATAGAGGGGGCAGGTTTAACCACATATTGGGACACTTAAAGGACAATATTGGTGCCAATCAATATCACATATGTGATGGAGCTGGTTAAACACATTCCAAATATATTTTTAACATAGAGATCATTGCTACGATAGCTGAGTAATACAGGTTTCCCGTATCGGAAGTGACGAACGCCAAAGGAAAACATGAGTCGCCGCTCTATATATAACTGACTGAAGCGACGAGTGATAACATATACACGGCCGAATTTCTACTCACTAATAATTCTTTCGATGACCAAAAGTTGTTATATGGGACTGTAAGAGGATATCTGACAATTCAATAAAGTAATTGAATGTCATTAGATAAGAGAACAGGAGAAAAATAGAAATAGTCCGTACATTCCCTTGTTTATATTCATTCTATACCTTATAAAAACATGGTAATGCACGGACTTTTCTTTCGTGTTCTCTTAATTATCTAGTGGCAGTCAATTCTTTTTATGAATTGTCAGATATCCTCTCACAGTCTCACACAACAACTGTTGGTCTTCAAAGGAATTATTAGTGAGCAGAAATTCGGCCGTGTATCTGTTATCACTCGTCGCTTCAGTCAGTTATATAGAGCGGTGACTCGTGTTTTCCTTTGGCTTTCGTCACTTCCGATACGGGAAACCTGTATTACTCAGCTATCGTAGCAATGATCTATGGGGTAAAAGTATATTTGGAATGTGTTTAACCAGCACTAACACATATGTGATAATGACTGGCACCAATATTGTCCTTTAAATTTAGTGGTAGAAAATCCATAGTTATCAGCTTTCGTTCTATGTTAAACATAGATCTGGATTTAGATCACAAACCTCGTCACTTGTTTCGTAGTGATCTAATGTCTGCAAACAATGAGTGTTTGATTGTGTAAAAAAACCAACAACACATATTTGACATCTGTACAGTGATCAAAACAAGCGGGGGTATGATGTCCTTTGTGGCGCCTATAAATCACCATGGGCCCCCCATTCAACTTTTAAGTTTATAGTACAGTGACTCAAACCAGAATTTGTCTAAATTTGCTGATGAGCGGCTTTAGTCAGGGACACCCATTGGGCCTTAAGTCACAGACAGGTTTTGATCCCTGTTATTCGATAGGCCCACAGAGATGGATCAAGGCTCAATGTAGGGTTTCGAGAACTGGGGCGATGTAAGTAATTGATTTTGAGGGAGAGCAGTGAGATTACTACAATAATCACGACCTATTGAATCAATGATCGCGCGATAGTTGCAGCCGATATCCTGTGCGAAAACATATGGTGGATGGAACTGGTGTTTTTCAGATGCCAGAAGCATTTTCTACACAGATCATTAGTGCTTGTGTTATTATTCATTTCAGCATTCCTAGGAAATGAAATAAAATGAAATGAAATGGGGTTTAACGTCCTACTGTTCTGCTCCGAACTGGGCTAATGAAGACGGGCTTAAGCCATACAGTGTGCTATGAGGGAAGGTTAGCCCGGACAGCGGCACTACGGCCTACTCTTATATCGAATTCCAAATGTCAAGGGATCTTTTACGTGCAAGCCAATGTGTACACGGGACCTCGGGTTTTCGTCCCATCCGAACGACTAGAGAGCTGTCCTAGTCCTGCATCACTGACAAAATGCAAACCACGCCGGAAAATCGGGATGAACTTTCTCGGCCAATGCAGGGATCGGACACCCGACCTCCAGGTTAGCGGCATTCCTAGGAACAGCCATTACGAGTTGTATACCGACCCAGGTGATCCCTGTATTATTTGATTAGGTTAGTGCGGGGTTCGTGCCAGTCACCATGTAATGCCTATTTCGTCTTTGTTCCTTTTATAGGAAATATTGTGCGGCAGTGTCATGGTCTATTGCTTTAAATTTATTTGTTAACATAGTCGCGTGTTGATGGTTTGTGTTCAAGCAAAGAATACACCAAATAAGCATATTAATTTAACCTAACCAATATGTAATAATTTATTTGTTTATAGACACATAACAAACATTAGCAGTATAACCAGATGATTGACATATGTCACTCACAAACAACAATAAATACACGGAGTCTGTACTTCAATCCTTAACAACGGTAACTAAGGAACAACAATAATTATACAATAAACAACAAATAAAGTCAGTGGTCTCGTTCTAAGGAAGCAGATTTAGACCATAATTACGGATGTCACACACAACAATAAGTTACACTGGGTCCTTTTCCCTAATTTAAAAAACAAATTAAGACAGTGGTCTTGTTTTCCATACCAATATTTCTTTCCCGTATGTGCATTGGAGTGCACGTAAAAGAACCCTTGACAGTTGGAATTTAAAATAGGAGTAGGTAGTAGCGAGGCTATCCGGGCAAAATTTCACATATAGCACACTACATGGCGTTTGCTCGTTTTCTTTTTAGCCCAGTGGGTACAGAAAAGTAGGACGTTAAACCCCTTTTCTTTTCATTTCACATAAATTTATTATTAAAATTCCAGTGCGTAACAACGGTAACTAAGGAAGTAGACTTAGACCCATTTAAACATCTAGTGCGTAACAACTGTAACTATGGAAGTAGATTTGGACTCATTTAAACTTCCACAAATAATTGACATAAATACACAAATGAATTTACAATAATAAACAAGTAATATTTGGTATTAAAATAAATTAAAAAAAAATATCTTTGATTTTGCTGCATTCATTTAAGATTATCACATAAATGTTTGGACGGATTGCTCGACATTGCACATCATGGCAGATGAAACTGAGGGGGTGGTAGATTGTCAACTCTTCAGAATGTTCCGAATGCACGGAATTGCAATCATATCGCACGGGACTGGGTCCTGACACAGTTCTATCATATCTGGAAACAGGTGTGGGCGTGGTGTTTGGAGAATTGTGAAGTAATCAAAGGTTTCAGCTATGATGTTTGGTCGAGATAGCCATCGCATGCCTTGTCGCCTGAAATTCTCGTGTTTACCTAATTGGCATGTTCTGTAACATTCAATCGGAATATACACCGAATATATTTTATAATAAAGAATACACGTTTATGTTTGAAAGGGGATCGTCTATTTAACGTCCCGGAATTTAATTCTCTTAATCACTCGGGACTTTTGGCCCACTAATGACAAGCAAACGACACTATCTTAACCAATCGCCATAGGTTAATTATCTGATTCTGCTCACACAACACTGTAACAGGACTCAATTCCTTTAATTCAGAACGTTCCGGATGGACAGATGAGCACCATTATAGTGTTCCAAGCACTCACAACGACGGTGCTACGAAAGTTCCACAGATGATGAGATTAGGATGAATCATCAAAGATTTTCTTTTAATGAAAAAGATGAGTAAGTACAATTAATGTAATTGTTATTAAAATAAATATCTTTAATTTTGCTGCGTTCACTCTCGATCATCACACAAACGTTATCGTACCAGAAGGAATATAATCTGGTTCTCTGGATGACCGAGTCTTCGGTTTTGCTTCATGCTGATCGAGCATTTTATCAAAATCATTTAATAGCTTAATCGCCTCACTGTTGCATTTCGCCATTGTTCCATTTGGTGTTACATCCGGTGAATAATCTGGTTCCGGTTCAGGCGGAGTTCGTGGGGAGCGATCGGCACCATCCGGTTGTCCAACCCGTTCGGTAAGAATGACAGGGTACCTATTGGGTTTTCCATCGCTGGCCCCTGATCCATCGCCTCTGATTTCAGAAGTTGGTCTTTCGATTGTGTTGAGAGAGGGCATCGATAAATGGGATTTTAAAACCCAGTTGCCATTTAAACTTCCTAGCGTTTTAACCGATGCACGTCGTTTCTGCACTTCAAGGCCACACGGGTCTATTAGTTCTTTAGTTCTCACTGTCGACGGGTGTGTGTTTAAAGTTTCATAAATGTTTTCATTATCCGGAACCCTGTTCTTGCGCAGTAATACCATACCTTCGGAATGGCGACGGATTTGATCAAGATTAAGGAGGGTGTTGTCTTTGGAACTGTCGCTGAAACAGTCATCGGTATTTTTATACACATGCGCAATATAAAGTTCTTGGTCGGTATTATAATCTGACGTCATATCATCATCGTCGTCATCATCATTACTGTTACGTCTACTGTCATTTAAAGCTTGCTGAAATGAAACATTAAAAACATGTGATTATTCATGGAAAAGGCGTATAAATGAGAGAGAGGGGGTGATGTGGTTTAATGCCCACTCGACGCAAACTAGGTCATTTCGAGACTGACATATGGGTCAATTTTATTTCAATAATTCACTTGCTCGGAGGAGTTTTTAGCAGTGGGAGGAAATCAGAGGACCCGGAGAAAACCCACGGGGTTGGACAGGCGACCCTACTCCTTGTCACGTACAACCTTGGAATTGAAACCACACCATTTGACTCATCAACGACAGACCTTATGATACACCGCGCACATGCTACCCCCCTCCCCCCCGTTAATAAATGGATTATCATAAAGTTTTCTTGCTTTAAAAAACCCCCAAAAAACATGTTCCCGAAGAGTTTTACAGCATCTAGACGTTGCTAAACTGGTCTTCAATTCGCGAACTTATAGCTACGTTATCTCCCTTTAACACAGACACCCGAATGATAGCGTCCAATCAGAGGTTGTGACACACTCAAATCAAACATGGCGGAAACCTTGACATTTAAACGAACCTTGAACTTTGCAACTCGATTATCACAGGTAGACATTTTAGCTGGAATGTGCGAGACTTGGTATTCGCAATGATGGAGGAATCCGATAGGCTCCACAGCTGGGTCAGTATCCAATCGAAATTAGTGGCGAAATATGCAGTGTATTACGCGGAGGGCTTGATCGTACGGAGTTAAAGCGAGATCACGCCTATTGAAGATGGAGCCAGGCAAGCAGGAGGCAACCTATACTTCTTCCCGTCTTATATTAAAAACCAAATTGAACACCAAAATGTCAGAAGGCAATGGATACTAATAGATTTGATTAAAAGTATAACTCACCATGATGTCATTTTTGGCTTCCTGTTTCTGTTGATGAATCAAAGACATCAGCAGCTGGAGGGAATTGGCAGGAATTTCGGTGAAATTTGGAACGGGAGGTAATTCTCGTGAAGCTGAAAATATTATACATGTACAATGAGTCACTTATTGAACGATGTTTAAAGTCTTGCGTGGGTACTCAGAGTTTTTATTCACTGTTGTGTCAATGGCCTCCTAAAGTTACCACATGTGTGTTCTGCACATCGGGTCTATTTGTAATTAAGATTTAGGCCTATAGATTCTAGAACGAGGCACAAAGACACGGTAACTTACAGCAGGTTATGACGATCGATTATGAACAGATTTCGCAAGGGGATCATAGTAAAGTCCTACAGCAAGTCCTATGGTCTATAGAAGTTGTGTGAGGTTCTCGATCATGTCATGATTTATATTCAAAAAACGACCTGCGATCAAACTGGAAGATGACATCGCAGACAAAACACACGACCAGAATTGACAACAATAGGTTGCACGACAAGATAGTAGGTAGCCTCAGGTTGACATGTCTAGGACATTCAACAATGCGAGGAGTTTACTCGGATCCCGACATCAACTACAGTACAGTGTGCGTCACATATAGTCTTGTTGGAACAGAGCTGCAGGGGGAAATTTTACTACAGCGAAGTAGAATGTTTGGCATTAGGATAATGTCATGTTTTATTATACAAGAAACAGATATTATAAGAAATATTTATTACCATTAGGATATGGCTTTGGTGGTATAACCTGGTTGTCTTGGTAAGTATTTGGTGGTATAACCTGGTCGTCTTGGTGAGTATTTGGTGTCAATCTTGAATCCTGATCACTAAATCTAGGCCGTTCTTCTTTAGACCAAACATCAGGCTGGAATTAATGTAACGTATTTAGTTATAAGTGTGACGTATTTAGTTAAAAGTGTGACGTATTTAGTTATAAGTATGACGTATTTAGTTATAAGTATGACGTATTTAGTTACAAGTATGATGTATTTAGTTAGAAGTGTGTCGTATTTGGTCATTAATGTGACGTATTTTAGTTATACATCTGACGTATTTAGTTATACATGTGAGGTATTTAGTTATAAGTGTGATGTATTTAGTTAAAAGTGTGTCGTATTTCGTTATAAATGTGACGTATTTAGTTTAAGTATGGCGTATTTAGTTTAGATTGTGTTGTGTTTAGATATAAGTGTGATGTAAGAGTGACGTATTTAGTTATAAGTGTATATAAGAAGTACAGTGATCCTAACAAGTAGTCAGCAGACTCGACCCTATGGTAAAATGAAGCTTGTGGATATTCCAGACCCCATTTGAAAAGTTCGATCAGGTCCCCCAAAACAAATTAAAGTATGAAATCCAATGAAGTAGATTTTTGAAGCAGGCCAGTTTAATAACCAGTGAATTATTCAAATCCCGAGACGTTACCCACCATTGTAAAAATACGGTATCACGCTTTACCAAGACCATTCCCCACATCTCCTGTGACATGAAGTTGGCTTTAACGTCATACTTTTCGACACCAACCGGGCGAATGAAGACGAAAATGCTCAATACATGAAATGAAATGGGGTTTAACGTCCTACTGTTCTGCTCCTATACTGGACTAATGAAGACGGGCATACGCCATACAGTGTGCTATGAGGGAAATTTTGCCCGGGCAGCGGCACTATCGCCTACTCTTATATCGAATTCCAACTGCCAAGGGATCTTTTACGTGCATACCAGTGTATACACAGGACCTCGGTTTTTCGTCTCATCCGAAGGACTAGACAGCTGTCCTTGTCAGGCCCTCCGTTCTGCACCACTGACAAGGGGAAACCACGTCGGAAAATCAAGATGAACTTTCTCGGCCAATGCAGGGATCGAACACCCGACCTCCAGGCTAGCGAGCCAGCGTCTTAACCTCCTAGCCACCGTAGCTCCCAAAATGCTCAATACAGTGAGCTATGTAGGAAATGTTGCCTGGGCCGATCTCATGTAATTCATGGCTAGACATTTAAACTTGACTATCGTTATACGTTTATCCGACTCACCATACATTCCACCACCTTGACAAAATCCCCTAAAACAACTTGAGTCCGAAGCAATCGGCAATATTAGTGAAAGTAATGTATAATAATATAGAGAGTTCTGTAAGTTTATTCACGAAATCTTAAACTAAGTTACAACCGAAATTTTAAGAAATACTGCAACTTCTTTGGATATATGCAAATTGATTTTACTGGTCAGCCAATCGAATTGCAGTATTTCTTAAAATTTCGATTGTATTTTAGTTTAAGTTTTCGTGAATAAGGGCCCAGTACGTTTCATAATCGTTTGAATATATTACTATGGATCTATATTACCGTACTAATTACTAGATACGACTAGTTAATCGATATATCAATATTATTATTCAAGTGGTTCGTTTATCCAGGTTCATTTAAACAATAATCATACATATACTGTATCTAATAATCTTATTAAATCGTTATAATAGTCACACGCACCAAGCAGCACTAACATCATATATACCATATCTGATTAAATCGTGTATAGAAGTCACGCGCTACCAAGCAGCACTAACATCATATAAATACCGTATCTGATTAAATCGTGTATAGAAGTCACACGCTACGAAGCAGAACTAAAATCATATGAATGGAAGCTTTTATATTTCATTTATTGATGTAAATATTTAATGAATAATAACCATATTTATTAATTCCATATAATGATTAACGCCGGTCAAACCAGGGGCGTAGTGACCCATTATTTTGCAAGAGGAACATGTTCCGGCCCGGGCCTCCCAAAAAACAATTGTTATATGCGTGTGCGGGGGGAGGGGCGGGTGGGCGTCCCTCCCAGTGACACCGGGTAATATTGGGCCGTGTGGAACATGCTAGAGTCGATTTGTAGCATATCTGACCCACGTAATATGTTTGACACTGGTTGAATATTATGATTATAATGTTGAAAACCGCATTGAAATGGCATGATTTGGTGCCATTTGGGATGGGGCGCGAAAACTCGAGGGGCCGCAAAAACTTTAAACCATGACGCAAAGCTCGTCATTGCGTCCCTCTCACTTAGCCCCTGGTCGATGAAAACTGGCCTAAAAGAATACCCTTGTACAAAATATGAAACATATAGGAACTTACAACTTAACACGAACCAACTACCACCCAATCTACTACCACCCAACTCACTACAACCCAACCAACCTACTACCATCCAACCAACCTACTATCACCCAACCTACTACCACCCAACTTACTACTACTCAACCTACTACCACCCAACCAACCTACTACCACCCAACTTACTACCACCCAACTAACCTACTACCACCCAACCTACTACCACCCAACCAACCTAGTACCACCCAACTTACTACCACTCAACCAACCTACTACCACCCAACCAACCTACTACCACCCAACTTACTACCACTCAACCAACCTACTACCACCCAACCAACCTACTACCACCCAACCTACTACCACCCAACCAACCTACTATCACCCAACCTACTACCACCCAACTTACTACCACTCAACCAACCTACTACCACCCAACTTACTACCACTCAACCAACCTACTACCACCCAATCTACTACCACCCAACCAGCTTACTAGCACTCAACACTACTAACCCGTTACCACCCAACACTAATTAAATCAGAAAATCACCTTACCTTGGGTTTCTTCAGTAAACTATCGACCTAAAACATGTGAAACAGGTAAAACATTTATATAGGATATGTAATGATACTTGTACATCACACGTCATATATTTGAAGAGTCCAGGGGAAGAACGACCTAAGTCACATTTTTGTCTTTTTGCATAAAAAGCAAAACAGACTTTTGGACGAGAATGCTTGATGCGAACAGAACAACGAGTGGGTTTAATTACAACTTTAAATTGATGTTTAATACGAATCATAATTACCAGTTCAACAACTGACTTCCACTTTTCAGCCAAATTATGTTTAAAATAAAGGGTACGATGGACGTATTTGTCCGGGAGGCCATTTCAGAAGGGCCTTGGTTGGATGTGACTCCGATCATTTTTACCTGAAATTGATTGTTCCACAGAAAGCTTATACAATTTGCCACCAGATGGCACCATTAACTGAGGTTCAGTTGAAAAAGTGACTTAGATCGTTCTTCTCCGGGTTACTTCATGTGATTTCGTTCTAATTAAAGTGCTGAATTGAGTTTATCATAGAAAATATAATTACAACGTGTTAGTCTCAGAAAATCCATTCAGGATAACTGCACAACACATTAATGACAGAACAAACGATAGAGTTGTTGGTGATGTTACAATTAGATGCACATTCTCACGGCAGATATAAAAATAAACATCCTGATGAACTTATATTAAACGAAAAGTGAAAGAATTCGTGCAGTCATTAGACACGTTAATAGTAAGTGCAGGGAGACAGCACCACATATCACAATTACACAAGACAAACCCACGGAGCTGACACAATATACACAGACACTTTAAACAAAAATCCCACATATTTATACCACTTCCCTTTAGGTCTTATAATTAGCATGGCGTCACTTTGAATGCCTTATCGTCATAGTATAACAATATGGCGTCATTTTAAATGCCATATCGTACCAATATGGCGTCATTTTAAACACCGCATCGTCACAGTATAGCAATAGCCGCCATTTTAAAAGCCATTTCGTCACAGAATAGCAATATGACGTCACTCTGAATGCCATATCGTCACAGTATAGTAATATGGCGTATCATAAGAGTATAATAATTAAAGTATAATTAAAGACTAGAGTTGTATGTCAGCCTTCCACTGTGATATATTTTATAAACTTACATCTATATATCTAAACTTCCATTCTTCTACTTCTCGTCTCAAATCATCAAATTCTAAACCATCGCCTCTTGTAAACTAATAATACAAAACATAATAATATAAACCCCGCCCCTCGCCTCTTGTAAACTAATCACACAAAACATTATAATAAAAAAACATGTCCATATTGTTTAACAACGGGTCTATTGAAATGGATAAAATGGAATATATAACATTTAAACGGATGACAATTTTTGACAAATAAATTGTAAAAATGGTAACCGGAGAACTCAGAGAATACCCATGAGATAAGCCAGACCACTCGACGTTTTGTCACGTGTTAGAGTCGGATCGAAACCGCGGCATTTGTATCAATAACAGGCCTTATGATCCAAAGCGCATGCGTCAGTCTATACTTTTATTACACATTAGGTATTTTTGCGGAGTCTTAAATTTTTGAACCATGAATGGGTCCATAGACTAAAACTCATCAACATGGAACTTGGTTTGCCCTTTCTTTGGACAATTGCACATCCATTGACACCCATGACGTCACGGTTCCAAGATGGCTGGCCCCTGGTTGATAGTACAGTCGTATTTATTATACTGTTAATTTGACGTAAATAAAGAACTGTGCAAAGTTAACTAGTGTTTTTCTGATGGACATTCGTATACTTTACTGCACTTCTGTCTGATAAACTAATTTATCACCCAATAATACATTCTACAGTAGATATCGCTTGTGTGATATATTTCATAATCTACTGCGATATCTCCTTAGGATGGTCAGTTGAAAAGGAACTACTTTTTTTTATTTTCAAAGAACAGTTCATTTCTTATTAAAAGTGACTTTTTTTTTTATTAAAAATGTGAACTATTGTTATTCAATTGACTTTGATGGACACACTGGGTCAATATAAAGGACTTTGCAATGGTTGAATTCCTGTCAAAAAATGATGTATCACTACGCCGTAATGTTCAGTAAAAGTGAAATCTACAGCAAAGAATTATATTTATCTATTTGTGCATGTAAGAAGGGATTGGGTGATAAATAAAATCTCCTACTCGTCTTTTTTGATATCAAAAAATATCAACACTCGTTGATAAAGTAAAAAAACTCGAGCCTCGTTTTTTGTTACTTTATCAACTTGTGTTGATATTTTTTGATATCAAAAAAGACTGGTAGGAGATTCTCTATATATTATGATAATGGACGAGTCAACCAATGCTTGTGGGCGAGTTGCCTAGCTTCCTATATGTGGACGAGTCAACCGACCGATGCTTGTGGACGAGTTGCTGCCTAGCTTCCTATATGTGTACTATGATAAACAAGTTACCTACCTTAGACAAAATATCAATATCAAGTCCCGCCATTTCTAGCTCTTGTTGTAGATACACTTTAAGATTACCCGATCCACTAGCTGCTATTAACGTGTTTAAAAACCTCATTGCTGATACCTTAAATAGTGTGGACAAATAAAAACCTTATTGCTGATACCTTAAATGGTGTGGACAAATAAAAACCTCATTGCTGATACCTTAAATAGTGTGGACAAATAAAAACCTCATTGCTGATACCTTAAATAGTGTGGACAAATAAAAACCTCATTGCTGATACCTTAAATAGTGTGGACAAATAAAAACCTCATTGCTGATACCTTAAATAGTGTGGACAAATAAAAACCTTATTGCTGATACCTTAAATAGTGTGGACAAATAAAAACCTCATTGCTGATACCTTAAATAGTGTGGATAAATAAAAACCTCATTGCTGATACCTTAAATAGTGTGGACAAATAAAAACCTTATTGCTGATATCTTAAATAGTGTGGATAAATAAAAACCTCATTGCTGATACCTTAAATAGTGTGGACAAATAAAAACCTTATTGCTGATATCTTAAATAGTGTGGATAAATAAAAACCTCATTGCTGATACCTTAAATAGTGTGGATAAATAAAAACCTTATTGCTGATACCTTAAATAGTGTGGACAAATAAAAACCTCATTGCTGATACCTTAAATAGTGTGGATAAATAAAACCTCATTGCAACAGGAGATTCCTAGGCCACCATGCAATATGATTTCCGGGTAGCAAAAAACACGATATGGTTTTCAATGGCCGTTTCCGGAACGTAGTGAAAACTAGTTTGGTGTAACAAGGGCTTTAAATAGTGCGGAAGAACAAAAATCTCTATAGAAATATAGATTCATTTATAATATGAGCCGATTCTCACTGACAAACAATGATGGGCGTGTTTAAAAATCCCATTGCGTTTTAATAAATATAACATCGAATAGTGTAATGATTACCTGAAAGACGATCTGACCATAGCCATGTGTAAACAACATGCTAATCAGGAGTTTAAATCGTACAGATTCACCAAACTTTAATCTCATATAGGTAAAGGTCTCAAATACACGATCAAAGCCATCTGGAACACTCAGCGATAGGGTCATTATCTGAAATAGATAGATATACTCGATCAATTCCAGCTGGGACACTCAGAGTTAGGGTCATTATCTGAAATAGATAGATAAACACGATCAGACCCAGCATGAACACTCAAAGATGGTGTCGTCATCTGAAATATAAGGTGAAGCCACAAAAAAAAACAACAACAAAACAGAATCCATAATTTTATTTATTAAATCCTACAAAGGTCCAACAAATTTCCTCTTTGGGGATTTTGCAAGGATAATGTGTACAAGAACAAGCCTCAAACGATTGGTGAATTGAAGGCAGCAATCACAGCAAAAATCAGGGAAATCCACAAAGAGTTCTTGATAATTTTGCGCAACTTATGAAAGTTTGCCTCCAATGCTGCGGAGGCCACTTGGAGTATATTTTAGAAAGAACATGACTTGTATGCAAAGCCACCAAGATAACTGAAACTTTGGGATATGATCGTATTCAGACTTTGCTGGACCTTTGTAGGATTTAAAAAAACGTATGGGTTCTGTTGGTTTTTGTTTTAGAAAATTTCGAATTCAGCTTCTAATATAGATTCATAGAGTTTTAATTATATCAAAAACGAAATTTAAATTAATTTAAAATTCAATATTGCATACAAAATAGAATTAAATAATTAAGTTTTAAAAGTGTCCCCAATACAATCGAGACTACAATACTGAAAGGAAATGCTCGATTGTCAGGCCAGAACCTCCTGTATTGACCGAGTTGCAATCGAGTGACGCGGAATTCAGTTCTGTCATAGTTCAGTCAGTCCCGACAGATGGGGTGGTGTGAGTAGAATCGTAACGTAATTAAACTCTACGAATACGTTTCAGCTGTCGTGGTTCGTTGAGATATTTTCTTATTCAGTCGACGTATGTGTGGTATCCCGAAATACCCCTTTTCACTCGATTGTCAATCAAGTACCCCCAATTATTTACCTCAAGGGTGACAACTCTTGATTTAATGGTATTACTTAATAAACTTGATGATATAATCTGCAGATGATCCATTTCTCCAACCAAGATTCCTACAGCAGACTGAAAATGATAAAGAATTAAAAGTAATAACCACATAATTCTACCAAAAACACACAAAAATGTTCATATTGACCCGAAATGGGTAAAATGTAGAAAAACTGGATTTAATTTCCAACACAAAATAACATGCTGGGTTATTTAGTATCAGGACGACAGGCGACCCTACCTTTTCTTCCATCAAAGTCTAGGATCAAATAAAATGAAATGGGGTTTCCAACCTCGTGGGTTATCTCCGGGTCCCCCGGTTTGCTCCAACTGTTAAGCGTAAACGCATTATTGAAATTAAATTAAACAACGTGTTAGTCCCAAAATGACCTACTTTGTTTCGAGTGGACGTTAAACCCCCTCCCCCTCTCATCATGTAATCATTTTAGCGAAGATTAACAGAGGTTGAAATAACACTTGTAACGAACTGACCTGACATCGTAAAGTAAACTTTATACACAGTAGACAATCATGTTCATCAGCCTGAAATAAGAAACAAGGCCGAATCAAGGAAAGAACCTGGAAATAATGAACACATCAGACTGGGATACAAAACCCGCTAAACATTTATATGACCAGAAAGAAGAATGGGTTAGGAAAAATGACAGATGTAGAAATTTAAATAAATAAGAACATGATAACACACATTGATAAGAAAAAGGTGTACAGGTAGGTAGATTGGGAATAACAATACATTAGAAATGCCGAAAAGGTAAGAATAATTCACAGGTAGGAGAGAGAATGGATCAGAAAAGACAATCGGTAGAACACATATCTCTTCCTGTGTTACGTACGTAACTAACGTACGAAAATTAAATGGTAGCTGGCTATTTTGCTCAGTAATCCCAGCCAGAATTTGGCTATTATTTTAAAATTGCGTTAAAGTTTTAAATTTTTGTTTAGAACTGAAATAAATTAACTTTTAGTCAATCTCCACGCTAAAAACATTAACAGAATTGATTGTGTATATCTGAAATAGACACGACCGAAGCACAAAATAGTGCCAATATGCCGACGTCAAATCTAGAGTTGTAGATGATGTTATTTTTGTGAAAAATCATTGGAAGAAGCGATAAGACGTTCTGTACGGATTATACAGTCCTAAAGGCTGCAAGAAGGCTATTGTTGACAATGTAACATTGTGTCTTGTAATGTTGATAATGATCATAATGATGGTGTTTACATTTGTTTGTTGATGTGACCTCATGACCTGTGACGTTTAGATAACGTCATATGGATATCATGGCTATTCACTGTGTCAGAGTCACTTCTCTGCAGGTAGGGTGAGTCTGTCGTTCAGATTGCCTGTGTTAATCTGTACAGACAAGTTATCTTTTAATAAAATAAAAAAATGTAAAAACAGTTACATAATATAAAGTGAATTATAAAATTAAGGCCGTACCAACTGTCTCTTAAATTCTTCTAAGCGAGATTCTTTACTTGCTACAGAAGCAGATTTCTGACGTGACGTATTTTGTAGTTGACGTAATAACTTTATGAGTAGATGCAGTCCGTTGTTTGGCGTCTTGATAAATTCACTGACGAAACTGAAATGATCAAATTAATCGCAACTGACTTAATGTTTCGGGAATTTGTAATTACTTTTTATATTCGAAAAATGGGACACTATAGAATCCAAAGAGTTATCGGGCTCAAATAGTCATTAGAAAAATTTAATGGACCTTAGGTATAGGAATATATTTAAAAATAGCCCAACCACAAATATTGAAGATGTATCAGGAGTTACGGAGAGTTCCATCCACCCGCTACCACTATGAAACTCCCCATGCTGCAAGCGGTCGACAGTCGAAACTATCCGCGACATACACTATCAATGACAGGCAACATTAACGGAAATGATATAGAACGTAATAGAAAATACGGTTCAAGTCTATTTATTCATTGATTTTTGGATAATCTTTGTTGGAATTAATAAATAAAATGGCAGGCATGAAATATAAAGATGTATATCATAATTGATCATAAAATCAATTTATAGACAGGGTTATTCTTTGGGTGCATTATTGTCATCAACTTATCCTAACATAGAATACTCTATCATTTATGTTTGATTACAGGGGAGGAGATGGAGGAGGGGTGAGGGGTGGGAGGGGTGAGGGGTGGGAGGGGAGGGGAAATGGGAGGGGGATGGGGGGGGAAGAGGGTGGTTGAAAGAGTAACGCGCTTGTGTATTAACCAGGTGGTTTGGACCCAGCGTGGTTTCCCCATTGGGACAAAAAACCAAGGTCCCGTGTACGCATTGACGTGCGCATAAAAGAACCCTAACCCCAACCCTTGCGCGTAGGGGTTTCAATAGCAGTGGGAAGAAACCGGAGGACCGGATAAAACCCACGAGATTGGACAGGCGACCCTACTCCTTGTCACTTACACCCGGGGCACACTGTATGGCGTATGCCTATCTTAAGTAGGACGTCAAGGTCAAACCCCAATTCATTCATTAATTCATTCATTTATTCATTTATTCAGTCATTGATAGACAGAAAGATGTAGAGATAACTAATTAATACAAATGATCATGGTACAATAATTACTTCCTATATGACTGGGGAATTAAATTATTTATCGTGTATAGTAATTATCCGTGATGGATTGATCGGATGTATAGACCAATAACCATTTAAAATACCGAGCCCTAACCCTGACACAATACACCGAATAACCCGATTACTATACACATGGAATACTATTCACGCGCTACGTCGTACGTTTAGTCTAGGGGGGTTGGATGGCCGAATGGTTAGCACGTGCGTGCTGTATCATAAGGCCTGTCATTAAGTCAACTGGCGTGGTTTCGAATCCCTGGTCGTACGTAACAAGGTGTAGGGTCGCCTGTCCAACCTCGTGGGTTTTCTCCGGGCCCTCCGGTTTCCTCCCACTGCTAAAGACCCCTAAAATTAAACCATATGTTAGTCCCGAAATGACCTAGTTTGTGTCGAGTGGACGTTAAACCCCATTTCCCCCTCTCTCTCTCTCTCTCTCTCTCTCTCTCGTTTAGTCTAGGCTTCTCTACCCACTGGTCTGTATTGAATGGAAAGGTCGCCCAGTACATGTTATAAACAGTAATTGAATTCCATAGAATTGTGACTGTTCAATTACTAAATGCCATTGAAGCAATTTATCTGATGGAACTAGCCATATAATTGACTCTTATAACCTAGACGATTTAATGATTTTTTTTTGATTGCTATTAACCACTTTGAATCGGGTTACATGAAATGGGGTTTATCGCCCAACTGTTCTGCTCCGACTGGGCTAATGAAGACGGACATACACCATACAGTGTGCTATGAGGGCAATTTTGTATCGAGTGGACGTTAAACACCATTTGTCTTTCTCTGTGGTAATTGTATACGACCACGAGATAAGGTGAGTTAAGAGACAGTATAACAATGATATTCTATAGATAACTTTAACACAAGTTTGTTAATTATTCATCACCATATTGTATCTATAGACTCAATGGAAGTATAATGAAGGATGTCGACAACAATACAGTTCAAAAACAATCTTAGTATACAACGAGATAACGTGGAATAAAGAGACAATGCTCATATAACAATGCTGATTATCCATTTTAATTATTTATCGCCATATTGTTTGTATTGTTTTAAAACGGTCTTATAATTATTTAGAGGACTACACAATACACTTCAAAAACAACGTTAGTCTAGGCAAGATTTCAAACACAGCACAAGGTATTAACCCTGTTGGTCCAGACCATTTGAACGTTAAACCTCATTTCTTTTATCTGCAGTCGAATGGGACGAAAAACCGGGAGCCTGTGTACATACTGGTGTGCACGTACAAGATCCCTTGGCTGTTGGAATTCAATATAAGAGTAGGCCGTAGTGCCGCTGTCCGGGCAAATTTTCCCCCATAGCACACTGTATGGCGTATGCCCGTCTTCATTAGCCCAGTCAGAACAGAACCGTAGAACGTTAAACTCCATTTCATTTCATTTCATTTTTAACGTCAGCATTTTTAATACTGTGGTCTTCATCGAACAGTTTTAAAAATGCTGAGTATGTAATGGGCTATCTTGGAAATTGTGCGTCGACAACAGCACCACCACCTACTCTTATTCCAATTTCTGGCAGGGAATCTTTAACGTACACACCAACCACTACAAGGATGGATCTCTCGAACGACTAGATGCCCACACCGGGATCGAACCCTACCCTTCTTGATTAGCTAGCCTGCGTTACATCCACAAATGCACATGCCCCAGCGACAATCTTAAAATTAAGAAAAATAGTTGCTATTTATCGTTTCAACAATATCCCGGTTTAATGAATATCGATAAAACACGTGTCATTGTATTTCTATCACTGAAAGGAAATGAGGATTCATCAACATAGGTATGAAATTGGGTTTAACGTCCAATTGTTTTGGTCCGACTGGGTTAATGAAGTCGGGCATACGCCATCCATTTTTACCCGGGCAGCGGCGCTACGGTCAAGGTTTCATTTACATGCACGCCTACCTGTACACACAGCCTCTAGTTTTGATCCCTTCCGAACAACTAGAGACTGTTCGAACCTCAACTGTCAAGGGTTCCTTAACGTGTACGCCTATCTGTACACACGGTGTTCCTTGCTAGGCCGCCGTCCTGCACCACTGACAAGGGGGAACCACATCGGAAAACCTCGAACATCGAACCCAGGACCTTCAAGTTAGCATTCCAGCGCCTTGGCCACTGAGTCAACGCGTTTTACTCTCTCAGCCACCGTGGCTCCTTGTAAACTTAGCCTATGCTGCTTATTTAAACATACATTATACAAGAGCTAAATCTGTCTATTGCAGGTCTTTCTTTAGCCCTTAAATGTTATATAAACTATTAATTAGACATTAATTAACATGACAAGACCATAATCAACTCTAGATGGCATCGAATTTCCCCGATATTAAATAGATTAGAACAGTTCAGCCTTATTTTGATTTAAGTTAAAAATGAAGGAGGAGACTTAGCTTTGAACAACCAATACGGTGGTTGAAATTATTGCACACGTCTTGTCAAACCTTCCAAGATTAATATCTTCGCTCGCAATAGAGTAATTTGAATGAATTTTTCAAATTATTTATTTTACATTATCTATTTTTTCATATAAACATATTTTATTCACTATAATTGAATGGGAAATTAGGGAAACATTATCTATTTTCGAACTATTATAGCAAGAATGGCTAGCTCTTTATTTAAATCTTACATAATGTATCTTTAAATATGCCGTAAGTGATTTCCGCGACAATATAATAATTATCTTCCAAAACAATAGTACACATACTGGCTACCAGGTAAACAGGATTCCAAAAATAGATAATACATCGATTTTACTTCCTTCATACTGTGTGTCTTATGTAAATATCTTTTATTCATTCCTAAAAAAAATAACCTTTTCTATTTTATATTTGCACTGGTTTTATTCTGTATAGATTACCTTAAAAACAATGGTTTATTGCTGTTATCACCATGGTAAACATGGCCGGCTTATTGATTAAAATTTTCATGTCATCTTCACCTATCTATGACATTTTTTACAAGCTCGTAAAATTGTTGAATAAGACGGGAAACATCAATTAAATATTCGTAATAATTTTAATATGGTAATATATTTTAAAAGAAAAAAAGAGGAGTCAGATCGGCGAATGAATCGGTGTTTTTTTTATTACAATGTGGCAGAGTACCGGTACTTTGTTTTGATTCTCTTTTTTGGGGTTAAACAATAGAAATACATAGGTGAGTTCGTTTTGCCAAATTGGCAAACAGCTAAATTCCCAAAATTGGTCTTTTGGATCGAGATTGAAGGCTTCTTTAAAAGTCTGGGGCCTGTTTCACGAAATTTTACCTAAGATAAAATCCTAATTTTAGTAATTTGATTGGATAATATTAGATTGATTTTAGTGCTTAGCCAATCAAACTTGAAGTATCTACTAAAATTTGGATTTTATCTTTAGTTAAGATTTCGAGAAACAGGGCCCTGATGTACACAGATCGGCACATGAGTACTTTGTTTAGATTCTCTTTTCTAGGTTAAAAGATAGAAATATATAGGTGGGTTCGTTTTGCATAATTGCCAAAAGCCTTCAATCTTTTTGATCGAGATTGAAGGCTTCTTTAAAAGTCTGATTTACCGAAACGAAACAGTATCCGATTAAGGTCAAAATCGTTTGATGGAATGTAAGTCTAAAATCTCAGAAATTTCTTGGTACAAAACGATTATTGATATGACAATCCAAAACCACATCCTTGGTATTACGGGAATTAACGATCAATATTTCTAACTAGAAGGGGAAATTAAAAAAAGGTGATTAGGCGACATACGCACCCATCAGAATTAGGTGAAACATTAAAAAAAAAAAAAAAAAAAATATGAATATATTCTATTTCGTTCCAGTTATTCAGAACGTACATTTCTGAATTTTAACTTAGCTTTTAATTTCGATAGAAAAGACGCATTCTTGGCATTTGGTCGTTTGGGCATATAGGGCAAAACGAACCTACCGAAATCAATGTTATACATCTACAGAATCAAAGGTCTAACCGGTTGTAGTGGAAGTTCGCGTCAGAGGTCATACGAGCGGCTTTTTACTCTATGACGCCAGACATTTGATTAACCAATCAGCGTTGATGTTTCTAGTGTGTTACTAACAGATGGATGCACCTCACGCTAAAAACTCGCCGTAACGAACCGTTTCATTGGCTAATCCCTCACATCATCCAGAACGCGTGTTATAAAACAACTCTTCCAGATCCTAGTCGTATTAAAGACAAGTAAAACGAAATTTTGAACTATAAAAACGAAACGAAATAGGATCTGTGTTTTAATCAGATTGTAGAATCAAAGATCTGATGAGTGGATGTTTATTAATGAAGTATGGGGGGAAGGGGGGTCTTTTGCTCTGTGCATTTTCTATGGATAAATTAAGGCACCTCTCACAATGCCTGTATATGATTAGATTATTGTATGAATTTAAACGACCACTTTTACAATTATGATATAGCAAACAACAATCACGTGCGTTTAAAATTTAATGAGAAATATTACAGAGTACCACTTGATGATTGTTCTATTTTGTAATGAAACAGACCATACAAGCCTGTATTGGTTCTCTAGTTCAACATGTATATTTGTTCACGAGAGAGAGAGAGAGAGAGAGAGAGAGAGAGGGGGGGATGGGATTTAACGTCCACTCGACCCTACTTCTTGTCACGTACAACCAGGGAATTAAAACCACGCCAAAGACTGACCTTATGATACATCCAATCCCCATAATATGTTAAGAATTCGGCATTTTCTTTGGCTGAGAATTACAATTAATTAAAGATACATTATGTAAGATTTAGATAAAGAACTCGCCATTCTTGTTATAATAGTTCGAAAATAGATGATGTCATTCAAATTCTCTATTGCAAGCGAAGATATTAGCCTTTGAAGGTTTGACAGACGTGTGCAATAATTTCAACCACCGTACTAGTTGATCGAAGCTAAGTCTCGGTCCTCCATATTTGATTAAATCAAAGTATCGCTGAACCATTCTAATCTATTTAATATCGGAGAAATCTGATGCCATCGAGAGTTGATTAAGGCCTGGATCAGTTAATTAATGTCTAATTAATACTTTAGAAAACATTACAGGCCTAACGAAAGACCTACAATAGGCAGATTTAGCTCTTGCATAATGCGTTCCACATATATTTTAGATTAGGATTTTGTATTGTTTTACGACAAATGACCGTATCGATAGAATGTTTAAACCGATTCCGGTCCAAGTCTATTTACTCATTGATTTTTGGATAAGCTTTGTTGGAATTAATAAATAAAATGGCAGGCATGAAATATAAAGATGTACATTATAATTGATCATAAACTCAATTTATAGACAGGGTTATTCGTCGGGTGCATTAATGTCATCAACTAATCCTAACATAGGATACTCTATCATTTATGTTTGATTACAGGGGGAATGGTAGGAGGGTGGGGGAGTAATGCGCTTGCTTACTAACCAGGTGGTTTGGCACCGGCGTGGTTTATTCTTTGGGTGCATTAATGTCACGAATTGCTTCCTTACATATAAAAATAAAATTATAAAATAAAATTCCCGTGAACGTAGAAGTATTGTACGGGGATCTATACAGGCATACCCTGCCTCTTATACTTCACCCGTCATTAATTATACGAACGTTAATTGTTATTGTGCCCCCGCCTATTTACGAACAATGTTTTTTTCCCACTACAACACTGCTTTTTGTTTAAGAGCTTGATCTGTATTGTGTTCCGTGGTATTAGTATTATATTTTTTTGCGCGGGGTTGGGGGTCTTTTTTCGATTTTCAACTATCACCTGATCCTTTACACTGACCTTTTTCGTCCCATCCGAACGACTAGACGCCTAGTCTTAAAATGATTGTGTTGACAAGGCCCCTTTCTATTTGTCCCAGACCATTTCGTTAAAGCCTACAATTGTCATCTGACCAGACGAAATGAAATGCAATGGGGTTTAACATCCTACAGTTCTGCCCCGAACTGGGCTAATGGAGACGGGCATACGCCATACAGTGTGCGATGAGGGAAATTGTGCCAGGGCAGCGGCACTACGGTCTATATCTTATATCGAATACCAACTACCGAGGGTTCTTTTACGTGCACGCCAATGTGTCCTGCACATATACTAAGGGGGGAACCACGCCGAGAAATCAAGATAACCTTTCTCGGCCAACACCGGGATCGAACACGCGACCCCACTGAGCCACCGCGGCACCAAACTACATAAATTACCTTTCATAGGACATCTTCAAGTCGAGTTTCAGCTTTCGAAGAAGATATGACAGCGGATGAATTCCATCTTTTAATTTTTTGGTTTTTTGTTTGTGACCCTTTTCATTCTCAACATGTTTCTTTAAATATGTTATATAATGACCAACAGCAAATAATGGTGCCCGGGTTTGCTGAAAAATATAAAAATATAAAAACACAACACAATTTATATGGAATACAATCACTGGTTTATACACATATAGCACGACGTTTCGACAAGTATTCTCTTATCGTGCTCAATCACTAAATGCCACTCTAGGATTATAAATAAAATATAAATAAAAAAAAATATAAATATGAATGAAAAAATAAATAAAATACGTTAAAATGATCTAAGTAAAGTTTTAGACATTTTCTGATTTAGAAAAAAAATAAAATATTTAGGCCCAAAAATCATCTAAAAGGATCAATTTTAATTAAAGTTTTTATAAATGTGTATTTTTCAGATATGCCGAATTACATAATAACAATGAGTGCATTAATATAATACATAATATTGACTTTTAGGATATATAGATCTGTATGTTAATAAGATTTTATTAGAACGTTATGACTTGTAACTGTAAAAGTATTTTATTGATTTTAAACTGACAATAAGAGATTCCAAATTGAGGAGTCTGTTAGACGTTTTGAACCGATGAGCGCGATGAGCTTTCTGAATTAACAGAAAAACTTACCTCACTGAAGATGATTTTCCATTTTTCGTCCATCGACATTAACTCGGAATTATTGATCTCCATTATTTTCTGAAATTATTATTGCTATTATTATTATTTCAGTCTCCTCCTATCTGTATTGGTATATCGACCTGGGCGCAGCCGTGGCTCGGAGAGTAAGACGCTGACCCAATCCTGGTATTGGCCGATAAAGTTCATCTGGAATTTACGGCGTAGTTCCCAGTGCTGCAGGACGAAGGGCCTGACAGGCCACAGCCTATAGTCATTAGGATGGGACGAAAAAACGAGGTCCGTGTACACATTGGCGTGCACGTAAAAGAACCCTTTGGCAGTTGGAATTCGATATTCGAGTAGGCCGTATTATCACTGCCGGGGCAAGATGTCCCTCATAGCACTGTATGGCGTCTGCCCGAATTCATTAGCCCAGTCGGAGTAGAAAAGTAGGACGTTAAACCCTATTTCATTTTATTTTATATGGATGTGAATACAAACCGGAAGTCCTTCGGCCTTTTAATGGTTATTTTTGTGGTAGGAACAAGTAGGCTGTTTTTGTGAAATGTTGAGAATTTGTACAGCTATGACACATCTTATTGTAGACATTGATGCTTTCTTCGATTCGCTTATTGATAGTTTTATACAATACAATAAACTTAACGCCTGGTGGTTTTTACATTACGTGAAATCATGGTACATCTACATTGTTCATTGATAATATTAATTAAATTTCATCTGCTTTCGGGGTTTGTGATTATTAAAACCAGATCAAATCATTGTGGTAAAGATATCCATTAATAATTTGTGTTAATTACAGTTAAAGTGGTCTGTCATATTGTAAGTTGTCTTCGTATTGCCCTTATCAACCTTGATCACTTTTATAATTACATTATTTTAATTAGCTTAGGACTTTTTAAGGGTAAGTAGAAGGGTGTCTCTGGATGGTCTAGGGTTTACATGTATATATTGTCTCATTATATTTTATCATTTCTTCCTAATAACTTCTAGTTTGCGTCGAGTGGACGTTAAACCCCATTTCTCTCTCTCTCTCTCTCTCTCATAATAAATAAAGAATTCTAGTAGAAACCTCGCCCAATAAAAAGTAGTAATTGTACTCCATAGAATTGTGACCTGTATAACTCCTACTTATATTTCCTACGTATAATATTTCACATAATTGTCAACAGAAATGGAATGGGGTTTAAAGTTTAATGTTCGCCCCCCCCCCCCTCCCCCCTGTGAAAAGGTTGTCGACCATAAAAACAATAGATATACTTTGTCCGTCAATTTTACAACACCCCTGAGAAAACTTCCCACCGCCCTCGTTGCTCTGAGCTAGTTACGGCCCTGAGATGGGGTAGTTAGATAGAGCTATAGTATGGACTAATATTTAACCATGGCAATAATATGTAAGTACGTGAATTATGTATTGCACATCTGTTGAAATATTAATGTAAACCCTCAGTGTCAGTAATAATTATATAATACTAGACGATGACCCAGTGGTGCCCGGGTTGTGTCCGTAACTCCGAGACCAACGCCACATAGTCTATATTACTACCCGGTCCGAGCTATCCCTAAACACCAAATTCCAGCTCCGGGGCAGTCCTAGTGTAGCCGCAAACCCTGAACAAACAAACAAAAGACAGTCACAAATATTATTATAGATAATACGTCGGGGTTCTAGAAACTTAATATATTAAGTCAAATAGCCTAATGCAATAAAACATGCAAAAGTAATCCGGAAAATGTGGGTTTTTATATATGTACGAGAAGCGGAAAATACAACAATTCTGTCTCAAAACATATTGGTTTCCCTGGCAAAGGAAGATAAGTCACCAGCTGTATTGAATTATGTGAACAGAACCTGTTTAAAGCATCTGAATAATTTACATATTGTTTTAAAAAAGCAGCTGTTGAACAGATACTTTAATAGGACTAATAAATGCTGCATTTTGTCTTCAAACTAAGCTCAACAGAAATTTGATTCCATTGTTTCTAATCTTAATTTGGCCTGATTGTTGCTGACTGTCATTAAACGCCATTTTATTGCCGTTTTTATTTAAAGGATAGTTTGATAAAGCGTAACCCTTTCTTACCATTAATAAAATAAATCACATAAACTAGCTAATTTTAGTTTTATCCATTCGGTTTCTTGCACTAACTGTAATTTAAAATTACCTTCACACTTTTCTAAAATAAATAATGATAATTCGAAGAACTAAAACTCATATTACCCATGTGATGTCAGATTGTTTAGTTTTAATCCTAAGAATGAACACATCACTATATATCGCACACTTATGGAATACAAGTTGCCCAGGAGTTTATTTCATCACAGACTCATCAATGCCGGTTTTGTTTTGTCATGTTATGTGCAGTGTAATCCAAAGAAAAAATACAAAGTCATTACCTCATATAAACTACCAAAGAATCGTCAGTGTCGATTTAGTTTTGTCATCCTTTGTGCAGTTTTAATCCTAAGAACAAATACATAACCATCATTCCATGTCAACAACTATCGACTCATCCATGTCAGTTTTATTTGTAGATTTCATCATCAATATGGATTGACAGTTATCGCCATCGATACCCGCTACAAGATTATATCGAATCGTTCAGGGAGATCAAGAGAAACAAACCAGGAAATGAAAACCCTAATTGGATGCTTACGACATTTAATCTCACTGGTATGCCTGTTTTTCTTGTTATTGGGCTAAGTGTGACTTCCCCGTATTTACAACTTCAGAAACATAGTTAAACAAAGATAGTTTATTATCGAAGAATGGTGAAGCACAAAAGACAACAGTCATGTTTCTGTTATCCAAGAAAATGTCAGCATTATCCAAAGCTTGAAGTGCACAAAACACACAATAGTTATGCTTCATCGTTGTCTTTTATTTCAGACATGTTAAACTAATATTCAACCAGTTCATATGAAGATGTGTCGTCAATCTCACATGATATAAATAAAATAAAACTCATCAGTTGAGACAACCCACTTGATCAGGCCCGATTGTCTTGTGTGAAAACTATTTTTAAAGGCCGGTATAGTCAGCACTGACAGACCCTGACGCTTTGCTATAGCGATATCAACACAACTTCTAGTTCTTCAGATAGCACATCGACACATTTCCCAATGATGAAATAAATTACTTTCAATAAACTGCAACTGTTATGACAACTGATAAAACAAAAATTAAAATTCCTCGTAAATTATTACAGAGATAAAATCACATCATCCAGTTCCTCTGACAGTAGGTCTGGCAATTAGTCCGTGACGGAAATGCCAATTGAAAGAAACACAGCCAATAAACGACAAGTGTCGTGTGTGTGATTGATATACAATATGATAAAACAGTTAGAAGCATGGCTTAACATGTAGATGATCAATAAAAATAATAATGCTAGAGTATTGATTGCTTCCTCGTTTATAGGGAGTCACGATCTCAACCTATAAGTAGCTTTATTCTCTACAGCAGTCAACCAGTTTAGTCTTTTATTGAACGGGGACCAGTCCCAGAAAACACGCAGTCCACGTGGATATTTATACTGAGCGCTAACGCGACAACGACCGCGTCCACTGGACCTGCAACTTTGATCTCGCACTGTGATCGACTTGTAAAAATCATTCGAGCAAGTCATTAGTTTGTGTTTCTGGTGAATAACTCCGTTCGTTACATGGACATCGAGGTCATGATAGTATTTAGTCTAGGATTTTTTATTGAGAGAGAAAGAGAGAAGGGAGGGGGGGGGTAACGTCCACTCAACACAAATTAGGTCATTTCGGGTAGGGGTCTTTAGCAGTGGGAAGAAACCGGAGGACCCGGAGAAAACCCACGAGGTTTGACAGGCGACCCTACTCATTGTCACGTACAACCGGAGAATCTAAACCACACCACCGTTATATATAATACTTAGATAAAGAGCTTGTCGTTCTTGCTAAATCAGTTCAAACAGATAATGAAAAATTAACATATTGAGAATTTCAGTCAAATTACTTTAGTCTCAGCTACGATATGAGCGTTTGAATTTTTGACAAGATGTGGCGTAGTCTCGAATGTCAATTACCATTGTTACGGTAATACACAAAGTCTCGGTTATTCATTTTAACGTCAAATTATGAAATGAAATGGGGTTTAACATCCTACTGTTCTGCTCCAACTGGGCTAAGGAAGACGAACATACCCCAAACAGTGTGCTTTGAGGAGACGTTTGCCCGGGCAGCGGCGCTAAGGTCGACTCTTATTTCGAATTCCAACTGTCAAGGGATCTTTTACGTGCACATCAATGTGTCCCCTCTCGGGCCCTCCGTCCTTCACCACTGACAAGGGGGGGGGGGGGGAACCACGCTGGAAAATCCCAATGAACTTTCTCAGCCAACGCAGGGATCCAACACGGAACCTTCAGGTTAGCGAGCCAACGTCTTGCTCACTGAGACATCATCAAATGACGCGGGGGTTCTAATTCAATTAATATCCGATGGCCTAGATTAGAGGCTTGCCATGTACATAATGCATTTTAGATCTAGCCCTCCTTTTAGTATTATTATTATAGTCATGTCACCATCAACAATTTTAACAAGGACCCCAGGACCCTGGCATATGTAATCTGTACTTCTGTTTGAGAACTTCTTCCTGTTTCCGTTTGCAAATTCATGATGAAAATAATACGAATTTATAGTTCGTATTCACCAGAGAAACAACGTACTGCTAAATGAACTCCATTTATATGGTACGTAGCTAATGCAACGCATTACGATTAAATTGCCCCTATTGATCCACGATCGGAGTCTAGATACGTTCGGATACGATCAACGTGATTGCTACGACTGACATCAATATATGATAAGATCTGATAGGCTCACCACGATTACTCCACGTTTAAAACTACAATTTCAATCGTAGCACAAATCGTGATAGTGGGAACCTACCATTATCTAAGTTTTTGAGTCAGTGAAATCATAAGTCAAGTGCACTTATCTCCCTTGTAGCATATTAATAAATGCTTTGTGGTTAAAAATGTCAATTATGAAACGGGAGACACAGTAGCTAACCATGTGATTCTAGGCCCGATCCCGGTGTCCACCGATAGTTCCTAACAAGAAACATTGTCTAGTCTTTTAGATCGTATAAAAAAACCCATATAGGTCTCGTGTACAGGTTGGCGTGCGCGTCAAAGATGCCTTGACAGTGAAAATTCGAAATATGAGTAAACGGTATCGCCGCTGTCCGGGTAAAATATCCCTCATAGTGCACTTCATAGCGTATGCCCGTCTTCGTTGGCGCTACTCGACAGAAACTGCGCTATGTCAGAACTAACACATGGTGCTAGTTATTTTAATAGATCGTTTGTGCGTATGCGGAGGCGAGAGTGTAACGTTGAAACCGGACAAAACCGAAGAGGCTGGACAGACGAGCCTACTCCTTTTGTTAGTCCGTACAAACTTGGGATCGAAACGACGCCATTTCATTTAATGGAGGATCTTATATAAATAAAATGGGGTTTAAAGTCCTACGCCATACAGTGTGCTATGAGGTAAATTTGCGCTGTCAGCGTCTCTATGGCCTACCCTTATATCGAATTCCAACTGTCAAGGGATCTTTTACGTGCACGCCAATGCATACACGGGACCTCGATTTTTCGTCTCGCCCGAATGACTAGACAACTGTCCTTGTCAGGCTCTCTGTGCTGCATCACTGACAAGAGGGGAATCACGCCGGAAATTCTGGACGAACTTTCTCGACCAATGCAGGGATCGAGCACACGACCTCCAGACTAGCGAGCCAGCGTCTTACCCACGCATATAAAGTGCATGCGTCAGCCTATCGACAACTCAGCAGATTAGAAACTTTACATGGTTAATGTAACTTTGATTTGCGTGACTTATACGTTGTATCAGTTCATTTCTAATACTTCGGAATATCTGATGTATATCATAATCACCATAGTATCATTCTCTACAATGGACATATATCGTGTCGTGTTACATTTTTCATCTGAAAACTGTCCTTGATGAAATAAATTTTCTTAAAGTGAAGGTATGCTAAATTTTATTGAAATTTTACTAAATTTTGTGATTGGAATACTGATCTTAAAGGGAAATTATGCTGGAATACCTAAACTCACTTAAAATGATAATAGTAGGACGTTAAGCCTTATTTTATTCCATTTTATTTTCTTAAAGTGACACTCTACATCGAGGCCAAAAATTATCTATTATCTAAAGAAAGTTTTAAGTCCTTCCTTTGAAATTGTGACGTTATATCCAAATGGAAGTCCGGCAATTGCCGTAGGAATACGCATGCCAAATGTCAAATGGATCGAAGTGGAATTGGCGGAGCCTTAGACCTTTTACGAATACCCCCCCCCCCCCATGAACAACAAGATGAGTGGACAAAAAAGATCTCAATAAGGAAATTGGTAATGATCGTGTTGAGGCTACTGACGATAACACTCTATCGGTATAACTATAATTATATAATGTCCACGTCACGTACATCTAACACTTTAATTATATAATGTCCAGGCTACGTACATGTAACACTATAATTTACTTTGAACTGTCTCTGACACAATAAATTGATATATTCTTAACTGTCTTATTCCAAGGCCACGTGCACGTATTTACAATATGTTGGCCTCCCTTTAAAGCGAGAATTTTTAAATTTCCTAAGAAAGTCAAAACATAATTATTTCTATGTCTTTTGCTCAATTGGTTATCAAATCACTATTATACGATCATGGGCATTATTTCCCACCCTTAAAAATCTATGACACAGGAAATAACACAATTACCTCCCCTGTTTTGCTATTTACAACATGGGTCAGCCATTTTCCAACGTTGGAATTTGAAGTTAAAAATGATATTTTTGCCAATTTCTCAGCTGGCAATAGCGAATTATAGGATTAATAGGATTATTCTTTAACAAGGTAGGACTGTTTATGGATACCTATTTTAAGGCTTTATTTTAATACATTTTAAAAATATAGCTTGAAAATTTGCAATTGCAACTTTAACCATCTAATGTCCAGGTAACGTGCATGTAACATCATAAATTAAGTTGAACTGCGTGTTATCGTATTTACAATATGTCGGTTTCTCTTTAACCAGGTAATGTCCAGGTAACGTGCATGTAACACTACAATATAAGTTGAACTGCGTGTTATCGTATTAACAATGGTCGATTACCTGCTATTGTACGGGTAATCAAACAACAATCATTCATTCACTTCAATAATCAATGTCAGTCAAGCTAATTAAATAATCGTTTGTTACTGGAATGGTCATAAAGGAAGCTAATTCTAATTATTTAAATGTCCCACTCCTTTCCTATTATAGGATACTTACAGTTGAACAATCACAATTTAATTATCCTATATAAAAGAGAGAGAGAGAGAGAGAGAGAGAGAGGGGAGGGAGGGGGGGTAACGTCCACTCGACACAAACTAGGTCATTTCGGGACTAACATGGTTCAATTTTATTTCAATAATTTGCTTGCGCGTAGGGGTCTTTAGCAGTGGGAGGAAACCGGAGGACCCGGAGAAAACACACGAGTTTGGACAGGCGACCCTACTCCTTGTCACGTACAAGCGGGTAATCTAAACCACGCCAGTTGACTCCATGGCAGACCTTATGATACAGCGCGCACGTGCTAACCATTCGGTCATCCAGTCCCCCACATATGAACAATAAGACGTTAAACGCCATTTCATTTTATATTTACATACCTGTATAGCATCATGAATATCGTGTTTTATCATAGAGTTGTCGTCCGTTATATTCTCATTACTACCATGATACAGGTTAATTAAAGATAGATTGTCCATGGTTTGTGTTGTATCAACAATAGGTGCATCTTTTGAGGGTTCTTTAGTGTCCAGGAGATTACCTACATCAATGTCATTATTATCACAAGGTTCGCAGTTTACTTGTTCTAATGGCGTATATTTCCTAGTGGATTCGATTGAGGACAATCCTGAACTTGCC